GGTCCGTTCTTACTGCTACTGGTAGCTGCTGCTGGAGAAACTCCCAGGAAGTGAGTGACTGCAGACAAAGAGAAACATGTTGGTTGAAACTCCGGGCACTGATTTCTCCCCTTCCCCAGCTGAGCTCCTAATTATTTCTCTATTGAATTCCATTGATTTGTTCGCCACAACCAGATTGCCTCGCGGTTGTCGAGTTCTCTGCCCGGCACTGTGAATGTGACAAAGAGATGCTGTTGGTTTGCATCACGGTAGGATTAGAGCGGGTTTCTCTTGTAGGTGGGTGGGACCGGAGAGGGGAAAGGTATGGCTAGTAATGGGAGAGTAAAGCAGGAGAGCTTATTTACTTTTTTGCTTTGCTTTTTAATATGTTTGGCTTTCTGGCCTATCAGCCTCCCCCAAACGGCTAACAACAATGAAGCATCAAGCCATTTAAAACCATACAGCAAAACCTGAAGTTCCTACAGAATAGGAAAGCAAAGTAAGACAAGAAAATGAGGACTAGCCAAGTGTAGTATGGTGGTTAAAGTGTTGGGCTGGGATCTAGGAGACCCAGGTTCGAATCCCCACTCTGCCATGGAAGCTTGCTGGGTAAACGTGGCCCAGTCACACACACTTAGCTTGACCTACCTTACAGGGCTGTTGTGAGGATAAAACGCAGGAGAGGACGACGTAAGCCACTTTGGGTCCCCATTGGGGAGAAAGGTGGGATATATATAGTAAAGGTTTCCCTTGCTCGAAAGCCAGTTGAATCCAACTCTAGGGGGCGGTGCTCATCTCCACTTCCAAGCCGAAGAGCCAGCGCTGTCCGAAGACTTCTCCGTCGTCACGTGGCCAGCATGACTAAATGGTGAGGCGCACGGAACGCTGTTCCCTCCCCACCAAAGCGGTACCTATTTATCTGCTTGCAATTCCTTGCTTTCGAACTGCCAGGTTGGCAGGAGCTGGGGCCAGAGACGGGAGCTCACTCCGTCAGGCGGCACTCGGGTCTCAAACTGCCAAGCTACCGACCTTCCGGTGTACAACTCAGCATCTTAACCTCTAAGCCACTGCGGCCCGGAATATAAATAAAATACATTTTAAAAAGGGCTAATCTATATGATACTGGGGGTGTGGATCTCCAGGTGTACAGTTTCAAAAAGCAGGAAATCAGGCTTACCAAGGTCCCTCCAATCACTGGTGGGGGAGGCATAGGGTTACCGGCTCCAGGTTGGGAAATCCCCAGAGATTTGGGGGTGGACCTCAGTGGGGTCCAATGCCATAGAGTCCACCTTCCAAAGCATCCATTTTCTCCATCGGAACTGATCTCTGTAGTCTGGAGACGAGCCGTAATTCTGGGGGAATCCCCAGGTCCCACCTGGAGGATGAACTTTGTAAGGGAAAAAACAACCGTGATATGATAACGAAACCTTGTTAGAGAAGAAGATATCTTCTTCAATTATCCAGCGAATGACAAATCGGTATGCACCCGAAGCAGTCTTGAAAGAATTTTAGAGGGCAACACATAGCTGCTTTTCACATCACGAAATGATGTAAGTTAGAAAGGGAGAGGGAGCAGAAACAAAAGTTGTAAGGTCTCGTCTGATGAAACCTCGAGTGAAATGGTCTATTGAGCGCTGTAGGTCAGAGAAGGTAAAGGTCTCCCTTGCTCGAAAGCCAGTCGAATCCGACTCTAGGGTTGCGGCGCTCATCTCCGTTTCAAAGCCGAAGAGCCAGCGCTGTCCGAAGACGTTTCCGTGGTCATGTGGCCGGCCTGACTAAACACCGAGGCGCACGGGACGCTGTTCCCTTCCCCACTGAATTGGTCCCTATTTATCTACTTGCAATGTCTTGCTTTCGAGCTGCTAGGTTGGCAGGAGCTGGAACTAGAGGCTGGAGCTCACTCCGTCATGCGGCACACCCGGGTCTCGAACTGCTGAACTACCGACCTTCCACAGCCTGCAGTTCAGCGTCTTAACCACTTGCGCCACCGACAGCTCCACTAACAAGCTTTACCGCGTTTGTATTGCACTTGCGACAAAGAATTCTCTAAAGATCATCCTGCTTTCCCTCATCCGTCCACCCCCCCCTCCAAAAGGCCTGGCTCCGGTTGCCCTGGCAACCCCTGCCTCCGCTCTGGCCGCTCCTCTCGTCTCCTCCGCTTCCCGGGCTCCGTCGGCGGATCCAGCCTCTCCTCCCGCGGCCGCTCTGGGCCGCCGTCTCGCTGCCCTCCGCCTCCCCCCGGCCTCCCGGACTGCGCCTCTCCATGGGCCGCGGGGGCCGCGGAGCCGTCGCCAGCCACGGAGGTGGGTCTGGTGGGTGGGGGGGGCGGCGGCCCTTTTCCAAGCTCTCCAGGGAAGTGCGCGCACCCCCACTGCAGCAGCATAGCCCCATAGTACAGCGCTCCTCTTATGTTTATTTAGGTATTTATATAGGTTCCCCCATCGTAGACTCTCAAATGGGATCCCCTGGCTGCAAAAGCCACCAAATTATAGGACTTTTTTGCCCCTAGAGAATCCCCCCCTTCTTGCCCCAGAGTCTTCCCACTTTCAGGCTCTTTTCAGCATCGGAGTGTTCCTTTCCTGTAAGGATCCCACAGGGTGGTATCTCTGAGGATGTTTCTTATAGGGATGCCAGCCCTCCAGGTGGGACCTGGGGATCCCCTGGAATGACAGCTCATCTCCAGAACGATGTTCCCTCTAAGCTGTGGAGTCCTGTGAGCAAAAATTCAACTTTGTGAGCTACCGGCATTAAAGTTGTGAGCAGGCAGGTGGTTTGGCTGCTGCATAGATTCGTTCGCCCAGGACTGGAGCCATCCCTTCCTGAGCGGAGACAAAAATGTGTGAGCTGGAGGGTGGAAAACGGTGAGCTAGCTCGCACTAACTCAGCTTAGAGGGAACACTGCTCCAGACTGCAGGGATCTGTTCCCCCGGGTAGAAAACGGATGCTCTGGAGGGGGGAGACCTTGTAGCGCACTGAGGTTCCCGTCCTCCCCAGGCTCCGTCCCCAAATCTCCAGAAGTTTCCCACCCTGGATCTTGGCAACCCCGTCCCCCATCCCTTCCCACGGCCAGGAGGAACTTGGCTACCCTAGTTTCTTGCATAGACTCGAAAGTCCATATAAGAGGGTGTGTGCAGCAATGTTCCCTCTGAGCTGTGGAGTCTTGTGAGCAAAAAGTCTACTTTGTGAGCTGCTGGCATTTAAAGTTGTGAGCGAGCCATTTGACTACTGCATTAATTAGTTGGCTCTGGAGCCCTCCTTCCTGAGCGAAGGCAAACGTGTGAGCCGGAGGCTAAAAAACTGTGAGCTAGCTCACAATAACTCAGCTTAGAGGGAACACTGGTGTGCAGATCCCTCCGTTCCATCATCCCGCTTCCCTTTAAGAATGTGAACCGTTCCAGGGGATCTTACAGGGTTTCTCTTTCTTTCTATAAAGACTTAATTCTGGTACCACTCATGGACACCTCGCATGCAGCCAGGTGGGCGGTGAATTGGTTTTTGAAAATGTCGGGGGTTCGAAAGTTGGGAGAAGCTTCTAGGGTGTAACTGACCCCCTGACCCCAGATGTGCGGATGCTTGCTTAGGGTGAAGAAGAGGCACTATGTACCTGCGCAAAAGTACTGCCATCTCTCTCTGCGTGGTGGAAAGGTGGGCTATACATATTTAAATACATAAATAAAATGCTGGATGTTCTTTTTTCTCTCATCGGTATTTCTGGTGCATAGGAGAGCGGCTCAGGCAAGAAAATATAGTTGACAAACGGCAGTTGTAGAAGAAGAAGGATGCAGATGTTACATATACATTTGACTTCATTCTGTGGGCTTAAGGTAGCCAAGGGGTTTCGTCTCTTGCATTTCAAAGGACTCACAGTCTTTAGTAACTGGTATGGATATCTTGGGCCAACAAAAGAAACGTAAACTAAAAAATATGCTTTCAGCTTATGAAGTTTTGGGGCCTTATTATTCTCCTTCTCCAAAAACGTTGTTCTTTGGAAAGATATCATTTATTTAAGCCTTCTGTCCTCTGCCCTATTCATGGGTCACATATTTGTTGGGGGGTTTTTTTGCTGTCATTTTGCAGGCGACTTATGGCAACCCCATAGGGTTCCCAAGGCAGGAGACTTTCACAGGTGTTTTGCCACTGCCTGCCTCTGCCTAGCGACCGTGGGGCTAGCTACTGGGGGGGTCCCATCTAACTACTAACTGGGGCTTACCCTGCTTAGATCTGACTAGATCTTGGGCCATCCACGTCAGAATAAATTATTTGGATGAAGGAATAGAGGGAATGCTTATTAAATTTGCAGATGATACTGAATTAGGAGGGGTAGCAAATACAATAGAAGACAAGAGTCAGGAGACAGGATGATCTTGACAGGCTGGAAAACTGGGTTAAAACAAAAAAAAATGAATTTCAGTGGGGATAAATGTAAAGTTCTGCATTTACGTAGGAAAAATCAAATGCATTATAGGATATGGGAGACTTGTCTTGGCAGCAGTATGTGTAACAAGGATGTAGGGGTCTTAGTAGACCATAAACTGAACATGAGTCAGCAGTGTGATGTGGTAGCTAAAAAGGCAAATACGATTTTGGGCTGTATCAACAGAAGTATAGTGTCCAGATCACGCAAAATGATGGTATCGCTTTACTCTGTGCTAGAGTATTGTGTTCTGTTTGGGGCACCACAATTTAAGAAGGATATCGACAAGCTGGAACGTGTCCAGAGGAGGGCAACAAACATGGTGAGGGGTCTGGAGACCTAGTCCTAAGAGGAAAGGGGAAAGGACCTGGGTATGTTTAGCCTGGAGAGGAGACGACTGAGAGGTGATATGATAACCATCTTCAAGTACTTGAAGGGCT